GAAGGGAAAGGGGGGAGAGGGACAATTACACAGCCTTGCGCCACCTAGGATTCGTGGAACATATGCAGGCTTCGAAAGGCTCAACGACTAGTCGGCGGACGGCGAACCGGGGCCAGTAACATGTATCTTTTTGTTACCCGATTTGACCAATCCACATTTTTGCCTATCGCACAAATGCCCATATTCATCAACTACTTGTTTTCCTCATTCCCCTGTTGAAGACGACACTTGCACTATACCGTATTTCACCTTACGCGAATTGCACAGCTCTCGTGTGCTGGAAGAGGGTATTTGTGAGATAGGATATACAAACCCTTGGAGATGATTATACTGAGGCAATGAAATTAATCGTAATAGCAATAGAGATGATACAGCCCTTGGACTTTCCGAAAGCGCCCGAAATTTTGGTGTTTCTTATGCCTCAGCAGTTCCCAGAATTCCAGACACTCTGGCAATGTGCAAGTGCAGTAGTACAGTACGGTACTGAAAGGGACGGATCGGGGTCGGAAAACCAAACACACAGATCGGGTAAGCTTCACTCACTTACAAAATCAAACAGGTAATTGATACCTCACAAAAGAAACAGAGTTCCGAAATTTGGTCGATACAGAGCAATTGATGCAAAGAAATGAAAAAACAACCAAAGAAGAATTATCAAACGTAGGTACAGGCTTTCGTATTCGATGTTGACTTCGTTTCCGTTCATTGTTTCCTCAAGTTCTCCGTAGCTCTTCGTTGGGTTCACCTCTTGTCTGAAGAGGGAGGGAGGAAAAAATCCCTTTAGGTCCTCTCCGGTCCACAGCACACCACCATGGCCAGTTACAACCAAACCCTAACAGTTCAAACAAACCTAACTCAACAATACAAAACCTAGGGCTTAAGAGAAAAAAAGGAAAACAAAGCAAACACATTTTTCACCCTCACAGTACTCGTAGAAACAAAGAATTTCTCGGGGCGCACTCGATTTCATAAGACGACCTTTCTCCTGATCATCCACCAACTCTCTGCTCTCATTCTCTGATCCCTTTTGCTACTGCCCAATATTACAATTTATATGTGGAGGTTTTTTCCCTTTATCTCTACAAGTCGAGTGGTAGTTTTCTTACCTGGTCCTAGGCTCTTGTATGGTGGTCCAACTAGCAGAGCGCCATAGCAAGCGGGATTTGTTCATCTTTTGCGGCCTGTAGAGGCTACTTTCCACTTCTGGTACCTCAAACTTCGGGCTGGCTCTAAAAACCCAAGACTATAGTGCACTCAGAGGAGTATGTGCGGCACGAAATAGGACTCAAAAAACAGGTGAATTTCTCTAATACCGGTAGTTAATGTGGTATAATTTACTTGGCGGCCTTGGGGCTACCCGGATCGGTTCGTTTGTTTCCAGTCTGCGGATTCTCCAGAGTGGCTCTACGCTGCTAACTTATAGTACCGTGACTTAAAGATGAGCGTTACGCAAGGGAGGTTACAGGTTTTTATGCCCGCTAACTAGACACAATCAAGCCCTGCGTCTGCGGTACCGCATTATCCGGCGAGATTCTCCTGCCGGAGTTCGTCAATATACTGGTCTATATGGACACAGTCAACTTATTCATGGGCCGTGAGGGCATCAACATCGCCCTTTCTAGAGATTCGGGCGATTCGCCAGTGTTGCATGTCGTTCACCGTGGGGATTTACCTATGGTCAGTAGGATGCTAGAGCGACCCGAAATTAATTTTGATTATCTTGGCGGGTCCGGTCCGGCCGAACGCTGTTGTACTTGTCCGCGCTCCCCGGGGACGAAACAATGGTGAAGGTTTTTCTTGCCATAGAAGACGTCGAATCCAACGGGCCTGATAACCAAGGCCGAACAGCACTATCAGAGGTTTCAGGGGCTGCTCACGAGGGTGCAATGAAGATGCATCAATCCCGACACCCTGATGATTGGGGGCGGACACCACTATCCCGGATAGTAAGCTATGGCCATACCAAAACCGTCAAGCCACTGCTAACCTGAGAGGAAGTTAGGCCTAGCCTCCGGCCGTACACCGTTATATAGGACTAGTGGGTATGAAAATATGAATACTGAATTGGTAGGGGCGTTACTGAAGGGGAGAAAGGTCGACATAAACTCTGTTGACATTGCCGGGCCGAACACAACTTGCTTAGGCAGGCTGCAGTCCAGTGTGAATGTGGTGAAACTTTTGCTGAGAAAGGCGGATGTTTGCCCAATCTCGCGGACCGCCAGCACTAAATACCGCTTTGCCATGCCACCTACGCAGGGGACCCCATGGAGAAGCAATAATAAGCATGCTGCTAGGCTGGGATGGTGTCGGCCTCAATCTAATTGGTATTAATGACCTAACACCTCTTCTCCTAGTCCCCTGGACCGGCTATGAGGAAGCGGTAGAGAAGCATTTGGCGAGGGAGGATATCAGACTCAACATCCCTGATAATGACTGCCTCGTAGCACTATCCTAGGCTGCGTATTCCGGTGCTGTCTCACTGATCAATAAATTACTCCTCCAGGAAGGGGCCGACGCAGACCCTACTGACGTAGGCGCCAGGACATCCCTTTCTCCAGCTGCGGCAAGTGGCTAAGGCTTCGGCGTAACCATTGCTTGGCCGTAGAGATCTCAACCCCAACTTACGCAATAACACCGGCGGCCCACCGTTCTCCTGGGCTGCTGCTGGTGGCTGCGGCGACAGAATGGACGTTTTCCTGGCAACACCCTCTCTGGACCCAAATATGGTTGACGATAACGGTGGGACGCCGGTTTCTTGAGCTTGCGGAAATTACTTTTTTAGCATAGCCTTGCGAAGACTACTCGACCGGCCCGATGTGAATCGCCACTGACCCTATGATACAACACCGGTCGGGCCCCACTATCATGGGGTGCTGAAGGTGAGCGTGAGGATTTATCGGACATGCCCTTGGCCCTGGATGACGCTGACATGTAAGCGTCCGATAATAACGGTCGCACCTTCCTCTCTCGCGCAGTGGAGAGAGGGTAGGAAGATTCGGTACGGCGTCTTCTCGATAGGGTGATCGGCAATGTCGACACGCTAGACTGTGATGGCAGGAGGCCGCTATCTTGGGCTTGGGGGAGACGTTTGAATCCGGGTTTGCCAGGCGTGATGTTAACCAGAGGTTGAGGGATCACCCCGGAAACACACAGTTAGGTTATGAGCACGAGAGCGGGAGGTGGGAGTCAGTGAGGTGGGGAATGGAAGCAGTTTAGAAGAGACAGCAGTGAACTTAGTGAGGCGCAATGTGAATTTCTGCGCCTTAGAGGCTTTAGTTTCATGTCAGAATTACATATGGTTGTATTTTTATGCGTATATATCATACATCTCAACCGAGTTTCTCGCGACTGTATACTATGGAACGGAAAGCCTCACTACCGCCTCTGCCTTGAGTCTCATACGGCTGTGTTTTCGATTTCTCCCCTTTTTTCCGGTTGAAGTGTTTTATCATACGGTAAATAAATGCTTTTAATCTACCGTATGATAATAACTTATTTGCTGGAGTATAAAACCATGCACGTTAACGTGACTACCCAAAAAAATAGGAAGCCTGGTGCATGTAGTAAGAAAGTGTTACATGCTATTGTGCGGTAATGATAAATCTGCAGATAAATTCCAGGAATGGAATAGGCCGTTACAGAAATTCTTCTTGACCGTATGTGGCTAGGGGCGGCAATGCAGCGACTTACCCGCATTCGTTATTACCTTACCCGCCCTTATGCCGCTCACGAAGGATTGATAAGAGAAAATGCCCTCCCGAGGGATTTTAATTCCCTACTTTGGGGGCTTGTCGTGTGTGTTCTTGACATGTAAAACTCTAGATTTTTTGTAAGTCTTTGGTATCATACCTGTTCATTGCCACAGGGACAAAGACGAGAAAGCAGCATGCCCAGAGCGATAAGAGGGGACTTGTATAGGAGATTCAAGAGGTATCTCTTGACAAAACCTGTGATGGTCTGCCGCTTGCTCAACCTAAAGCACTAGTACTGTATATCCGAACAAAGAAAGTCATGATAAAAAAGGAACTGTTCTGACCGTTGTGGGTTCGCTTTCCTGCGCTGGTTGGTATGTAGCACCCAATTGTCTTGTGATGGATCCCTTTCTAGGTTCATAGCTTCCTATAGCTCAAATTTGCTTCTTGTTCTGTAATTTTCTTGATAATAATATGATGGTGGAAGTTCTTTAACGTGTAGTAGATGTGGGCACTAGGTCGAGAGCATGGCCGAGATGAAGTGCCAGAACTGACGGGTTACTATGGAAGGACCCAATTTTCCCGACAGGCTTGGCTGAGGGGGTTCAATTAGGGTTACCCGAAATATAGTTGGCTCGGGTTTTCCCCACTCAAAGGATTTAAGGTTCTTTATCATATATGGGTGCCCGCCCCCGGTCGCCTTGTTTGTGTGTCTTGAACCCTCGAAAATGCAGAACCCCATTCGTATCCTACCTTTGTGATTCCTACTGCATAAATAGTAGGAGTACTCTATTACTCTAGGATGCTATCGGCTAGGGGTCGTCCTCCATTCACTTGATATGTGCTGTGGGCAACCTCTTATCCAAGGGAGCTTCTGCGGATTATTTGGAGCCGCTCATAAAAAAACACCGCCTCGAGTCGGGGAACGTCAGTTCCTGTGAGAGGATTGGCTTCTGACGGATACATCTCAAAAAGGAAGATCTCGACTAAAAATTGAAGTGCCCCGGCATAGACGCTGACCTCTGGCTCCGAGATTTCGTGGTCATCCCTTCCTTTGCCCATCTAGCGGAATTACGACCGCCTCCAAAATTCTACACCCACCTTATTACGACATCAAACCTAGGCTGACGAAGCTTCCTCCAGCACTCGCGGCTCCTCCCTTTTTTTTTCGTCACCCTCCCCACCTCCTTCGACTATTTAAACAGCCAGCTTTCTTCCAAACCCACCCCACCCAACACTCCTTTCCCTTCCACCCACTCTCCCTTCCACCCACTCTCCCTTCCACCCACTTTCCCTTATACCCACCCCCCCCTCCATCCACTTTCCCCTCCTTCATCTATCCTGCCTTCTTTTCTTCACAGTTAGTATTCTATCCGTACAACTTTGCTTTTTTAAGCTAATTTCTAAATACAAGCATTACTATGCAAAATTCTGATGACGATAACGACTGGGGAGACCTCTTACCCTCGCTCGAGGAGACGCTTAAGCTCCTCCCGGAGCTTAGGGAAACAGCGGAGGCTCTTGGTAATCTTCGTACCGACCCAAACCACAACGATCCAAAGAGTTGCGGCCATTCGGGACCTCCTACCTCGCGCTCTATTGAGCCTGTAAGAACCCCACCCTACAATCCTCCATTCCCCAACGAGCCTGCTCGTCGGGGCCGCCGTTCCAAACCAGACTTGCGGGGTTTGTATACACCTCGTCATCGTAGAAACACCCATGTAGCCTCCGGGGAAAATAAACAACTTTCTCTCCCAACAACTCTGAATTCTAATAGAGTTTTACCTAAGAAAGGAAGCTACCGTGCTGTTATGGCTGAGGCAAAATTGTTTGTAGCAGAAAAGGAGGCACAACTTCAGTTTACTCCAGCCAATGAGTCGGACTCCGATCGAGAGTTTAGAGGTACTATTGCTAACTCAACCATACTCGATAGACATAAGAAGCTCTATGGCCTCGGCCGGGGTGAGGTGGGCGACCCCGCAGAGCCTAACCCAGCTCAGGATACCAAAAAAAAATCTAAAATAAACTCCTTCCCAATTGCCAAACGTTCTCAGCCCTCCAATGCGGCTAAGATTGCTCAGAAGAAACATGAACACCGGTATATGGGGCTAACCCCCTACTTATCTACTAGCGACTCTTCTGAGAGCACAGACGATGCCAAAAAGACCTCCTACAGGGCGAAACTATTTGGACTACGGAAAGGTAGTTCCCGATCAAGGAAGACTACAGCTGAGAGATCTGCGTCTCCTCGATCTAGCCATGGGGGTACCCAGTATCACACGCGGGCCAGCCCTCTTGTTACCTCAGAAGTTACTAACAAGAGTTTTCGCCCCCGCCGCCGAGCAGCTGTGGTTGCCATGGAACGAGCCAGAAGCCAGTTCGACGACCCTTTTCCTGGATTCTTTGCACCCCGTCGTGTGAATAGACGTACAGCTGAACAAAACGCTCTAATACCTAAATTTGCACAAAAGGAACCGGCGATAAAGATGGACGGATCTGCATCTGAGGATGACGAGGTATCGTCAGTTCCTGTTCCTGTTAACAGTATGTGTCGGGGGACTCAACTCTTTTATAAGATGGAGAATATCGATCCGGAGGAATGAGGCAGTGTCGGTAAAGGGTTGTCAGTATTTTCTACCCCATTTCACGTTCATTATTATTGTTGCAGTTATTACTTTGACACATTGATACTTTGATACTAATTGGTACTACACATTAGTTTAGGGTTTGACTTCAAACCTCTCCCCTTTTCCAATATTTTTCCTACAATTTACAATTGTATTCGACCGTTTTACTCGATGGTTTCAGCAATATAACGGATGATAAACGAGCTTTTTAAGTAGCTGGACCGACCCACGCTCGAACATGCACAACCTACAGTACCCACCGGGTTTAGTTTCGACACTTATTTGCTCCGGGAGTAATGCCCGGGTGGCTGGATTTGATTTGATCCTTTCCTGGTAAGTTATAACTAAAAAGAATTCAACTCCAATTGTTTGACCTGTATTGACTCGAAAATTTACAACACACTTTAGACTACTGTTCTATAGTTCGCATATTGCTGATACGGAGTTATTTTCTTTGTTCTGGTGTCTCATTCTCTCTTTCTCACCTGTTTTAAATCCTTGTTCTTATGACCCGTGATAGATAGTGTCAATTGTCTTCCTCAGGTATATAAAATGTTCATACCCTATTTTTTTTTCTTTTTTTTTCCCAAAAATAACATTCTTCTCAAAAAAATATATATATATTTAAAAAATAGTGGAATCGATATTACGTATCGTATACCAGCTCCTTCCACTCTTTGTTACCCACCGCTCTCACTTACATTTCTTCTCTATATGCTATATGCATGCAACTTCCACTTTATCACAAATTATTCGGGTCTCAAGTTGAGTTCTACCTTCGTACTATCCCAATGACAGTTTTTTTTCTTGCTTGCCGTTCCCTCACTGTCAGGTTCTCTTATTATTACCTCCTTAACCTTATTCCTATATTACTTTCTTTAATTTCACTGACCTCTGGAACAACTAAAACTCAGCTTCAACCTGTATTATAAAAAATACATACAGTTTCAGAATTCTTTGAACAATAATATGTGCTTTACACATACTTGAAATCAGTATAAGAAAGGAGCAATTTTTATAATTGCTCCAGTGAGCTCTAATACCACAGTTTTTGTGACCCTACTCCCTACTTTCCTATTTAGAAGTTGGCTGTAGGGCAAAACACTCAACTAAATTTTCACAATCCTAAACTATAATCTGTAGCCTTATAGGTATAGGTAAAACTGTGAGTTTAATTCCGTCTCCTCAGGATATTAGCATACTTAGTTTGAAAAAAATTTTGTTTGCTTGTTATTCCTTTTATATATTTGTTGTATCAAAATCAAGTCACATGTAGGTAAAAATTGATCAGACTTGTATTTTTTTTTTTTGAAGTCTACTAGTAGCATTTTTTCTGTACTGTCTATCCTTCCTCATTTTAAGAGAATGTGCAGTTGATTTCATACCAAAAAAAGCTGTAGATTAAGAGACCTTGAACAGAGACTGATTTCTTTTATTATAAGGTTATTGAGTTATATCTTAAAGTCAATGCCACAGCATTTTATACTAGTAGAACTAGTAGTTATAAATAAACTATGAAAAAATACAAGTTTGTAATTGCCCTAGTCTCTGTTCTCTACCATATATATATTGAAAATAACCTGTAGTTTTTTTATTTTATTAATAGCTACTTATCTATATCTTAATATCTAAACTGTAATAATACTTATAGATTTGTTTTTTCTTCTAGTAAAGATAAAACAGATTTTCTTCAAGTTTCAACCTAGAAGCTAATTACTATACTATTTTAAATAGGATTTTTTTTTAGAAAATCAAGTCTTTAGAATTGCACTATCATCTGACAAAGTTCATATTACTGAAAGGTACTGTATAACCTAAGCTACCTAAAAATAGTAAGAAAAAATCTAAAAACCTGTTTGGTATGTCAAAAATACTATAGTATTTTTTAATAACAGTATTATGTTTTGTTTATAGAAAGTTAAAAACATAAGGAAGAACAATTTCTTTAACTTATAAGAATATATATATTATAAATTTCAATAAATTACCTCATTAGATAAGATTTATAAGTTAGAAAAAAATTAATTATAAGTTAGAGATTGCTAAATACACTTATTTTTGAAAATACTGTAGTACTTTATTCTCTTTACAAGAGCTATTAGCCGATAGGGTACCGAAACGGATCCATATACATTCAAACAATAACTTATGGCAGGAAAAGAGAAAAGCGGAAAAAGGAAAAACTGGAGCAAGAAGATAGATATCTGAGTCTAAAACTAACCTAATCTTTCAGCTCGACACAATTTTTGTCTACGTGATATGGAGCGGAAGAAAGGAGATCTCTCGTAGTATCACTCATAGTTATTTTTCCACTAGGAATTGCAGGTAGAATCGTACTAGATTCCTCTGATATCCTAGGTGGCCGCTGGGCTTTTCCGGTGGTCGGTCATCAGAGGGATCTACTGCGTTGTAGAAGCTAAAGAAATAACAGAGCCCACCAGCCTGTTATGAGGAGGAGGCCTGGGCCGACGACCATATGCATTACCATCTTAGATGCCATACCTGTGCATCGCTGTCACCCCCTATCGAGACCTCAGAAACGGGCGGACGGTCAGAGCTACCAAGTTTCTAAATCTAGAGCTCTGAGAAGTGTAGTTTGGTACAGATAATCATGCTATTATACGACAACGTTATAATACTCACGTGAATCCTGTAAGTCTAAGGGGCTGTTTAGCACGACGTCGAACCACGATTGGGAAAACCGTGGTTGGGGAACTGTCCAATGGCATGCCCGAAAACTACCATATCTAAGCTTTATCATTGGCCAGTTTCCCAACAATGGTTTCCTATCGTGGCAAATAGCCCCTAAAGCATCCATCCGGGTGAAATAGCAATAACATTCCCACACCTCAGAGAATAAAGCCCACAATTTACCTACAATTCTCTATGCTTTAAAAAAATCCAACCGTATCCAACTTTTATCGAACCACCCCCCCTCTTCCGATATTACACCCACCAGCCTGATACTATATCGTGACCCATCCATACCCACAACCGATAACTGTGGAAAAATCCAGGTGTCATACATCCCCAAGTTATACCAAACATTCCCCCAAAACCCCTATAAATACCTAACCACGGCTGACTTCATAAATCCTCACTCGGCGCCACACCCCCTCCCCGGCCCCCGTACTTCGGAACAACCACCCGACAACCCCAAACTCGGCCGGGACCAAACTGCCAAATCTGGAAACCGAGTTTTAGGTCGAACCCCGGGAACTCATTATAATACTGGTATCCTACGGTATTCGCACGCCAATACAGTATTACCCGGGATTTGAGGATGAGGTGGGTTGTCACGCAGGAGTCACATAGTGTTGATGTGCAGTAAACACCCGCCATCCCGGATGGGCGAACCCTACAGATCTCATCCGTGACAACGGCGTATCCGGAGCGGCAGTTCGTATCGTTCGGGGGGGAAGTGATGGTAATGATCAAGGTGAATTATGCCCATTCTTATAGGAGGCTTTATCTTGATTGCCGCCCTCGAGTAGTGTCACCACAACTCGTAACTAAAGTGGTATCATAGCTATCATGTGCCATGTTTTCCCCCGACTCCACATTACGCCTATGGTGTTAGTAGTAGTGGTAGACAGTCTTGCACTCTGCCTCCATGTCCCGGTTCAACTATGAGCCGGCGACACCCCTTTCCCCTCTCCACAACCCTTTCTCCCCCCTACTACCCTTTGGTCCAGCTTTTCTAACAGTAATCATAGCATCCTGTTTAGTAGGTTAATTTTCTATAATAGGAACATGGGGTTAAGATTTCCCAAAATCTCGTCCGGATCGGGAAAAAACCCTTGTCCGGTTCAACAAGGTGATTTCTGTAAGGAGTTGGAGGAGCGGAAGATTTGTGCGGTTCAGTGCGGTACCCGGTTCAGCGGGATCCGGGATAGTGGGCCGCGACTGTATAGTACTATTTTACCGCTTGAATACTGGTATTGTAGTATGCTACATAAATTAAAATGGCCTAACGCTAGGCTTGCTAGACTGTTCATGGCCTTGGAATGCTCTTTTTTGGTAGAGATACCGAGAGCGCCGGCGAGGGTGGGTTTGGGCGTTCTTTTGTAGGATACCGAGATTCAGGATTGCGAGAATCTGTCTTTCCATTTCCTTCGATACTTACGGTAGGTAGCGATAATTGAGGGGGTGAGAGTGTCGCCGCACTCGTAATTAGGCTCTAAGTCGCAGGCCCCTTATCGCTGTCCCCACCTTCAGCAACACCAGAGTGATAGCTCCTGTCGCTAAGCAAACTACTGCCACAACCGGTCCCATCCCCAAAGACAGTGTCTTCTTTCTTTACTAGATCAGCCCAATTACCTTACCCCGCAAATAACCCCCGGTCTGAAAGAGAAAGAAAAGGCAGCGGGGGTGGGTGCATCCTACGGACAACAATCCGCAGATCATATCCCAGGCCCTAGGTAATGCTATACAGTAATCTTCAGGCTAGATCTGGTAGAATCCGGATTCGGAAATTGGGGAGAAAAAAATTGAATCTCGGGAGCTTTTATCTCCGCACCCAGGTTCCGGCCACTTCCATAGGATGCAGAGCGGGCTGGCGGGTATGAGTTAATATATCAGTACCGATCTATAATAGAGAGCGATAGAGCAGGACTGCCGTATTCTGGGCCAGGGTGTGGAGCCATGGGTATAAAAGGACTCGCTGGGAAAGCAACGGAGAGAAGGTTTGGTCTAGGTCCTTCAGGATCGCCCTTGACATCCGTCCCTTCTCTTCCTCGGTCATTCCTTTCCCCACCAACGTTCGTTCGTTCACCCACCTCGCAATGAAGTCTCTGATCTACTCCTTGACCATGGCCGTCACGACGGTCATGGCCAACGTCCTCCCCGGAAACGGGACAATCCCTCCCGACGCGGTCTACAAGAGCCCAAAAGCACCCATAGACGACCGTATCAAGGACCTTCTGTCCCGTATGACGCTGGAGGAGAAAGTAGCACAGGTGATGCAGGGTGACCTCTCCAATTGGCTCAACACCACGGACGGGAGCTTCAATCGCTCCGGTCTGGTGGAGAACATGAGTTACAAGGCCGGGCAGTTTTACGTCGGGTATCCGGTTCCTTGGGAGTGGATTGCGCGCGAAACGGAGAGGGCACAGAGATACCTTGTCGATGAGACGAGGTTAGGCATTCCGGCACTTGTTCAGAGTGAAGGTGCGCCATACCGTCTTACCCCTTGCAGAATACACAACTAACCGATCTTGGATAGGTATCCACGGTTTCTTAATTGGCAACGCAACAATATTCAATTCACCAATTGGGTATGCATGCGCTTTCGACCCGGATGTGACTCCCCCCTTCCAATCACGTAGTATCGAAGCTAACGCACCACTCCCAGCTCGTCGAAAAGATGGCCGAAGTGATCGCTCAGGAGTCCCTAGCCCTGGGAGTAAACCACCTCTTTGCACCGGTAGTAGACCTCTCCCGCGAACTCCGCTTCGGCAGAGTCGAGGAGATGTTCGGCGAGGACCCGTACCTTGCCGGAGAACTAGGATACTCTTATGTTAAAGGCTTGCAAAAGAACGGTGTTGCAGCCACTGTCAAGCATTTTGCGGGATTCGGGACTCCGGAACAGGGTTTGAATACTGCGCCCGTCCATGGTGGCGAGAGGGAGATGAGGAGGACGTATTTACCGGCTTTTAAGAGATCGATTATCGATGCGGATGCTTGGAGCGTTATGAGTGCTTACCATTCGCATGTCACCCCTCGTGCCATGCTGTGTTGGGAGAGCACGAACTAACGAGTGCGAGTGGGCAGGTATGATGGTGTCCCTGCAGCGGCAGATTATCACCTGCTTACTGAAGTCCTCAGAGGAGAGTGGGGATTCAAGTACCACGTTATGACCGATGTAAGCCCCCCCTCCACCCCAGTTGATACCCTCCGCAATCTAACCCTCCTTAGGCCGGTGGCTCCGACAAACTGTGCAACGACCATGGCCTCTGCGAGCGTGGTGACAAGCGCGCAGTGACAATGCTCGCACTAGTAGCTGGCAGTGACGTAGAATTGGGTGGTGGGACCTTCAACTACCGCGCCATTCCCAGCCTCCTCGAAGATGGATCCCTAGAAGAGAAAGTCCTCGACACAGCCGTCTCCCGTATTCTTAGATCCAAATTCGCCATGGGGCTCTTCGAGAATCCGTTTTCCGCCGCGCCGCAGGAGAGGTGGGACAAATTGATTCACTCCGAGGAGGCGGTTAAGCTCGCGACACAGCTCGACCGGGAAAGTATCGTGCTTTTGGAGAATAATGGGGTATTACCAATTGACAAGGAGAAGGCCAAGAGCATTGCTGTTCTTGGGCCCATGGCTCATGGGTTTATGAATGTTCCTTTTTCCTGCCCTGGCTTGAAAGCGTGGGGTTGTTGTTCTAACGAGCTTTGGGTATGACAGTACGGAGACTACGTCGTCTACTTATCTCAGTACCGGGGTGTGACGCCCTACGACGGTATCAAGAATCTATTCAAGGGAACACATACAACAGTGACACACGCCCAGGGATGCGAACGTTGGAGTAACGACAAGAGCGGCTTCCCGGAGGCTGTTGCGGCAGCAAAAGCAGCAGAAGTAGCAGTAGTAGTCGTGGGAACCTGGAGTCGTGACCAACGGGAACTTTGGCGCGGCTTCAACGCAACGTACCACCCCTCCTAGCCCCCCCCCCACCAACCCTATCCAACTAAAAGGAATAGAACAGGAGAACATGTAGACCTCCACAACCTAAACCTCGTCGGCGCACAGGCAGACCTGGTCCGGGAAATCCTCGCGGTGAACAACAACACGATAGTTGTCTTCTCTAGCGGCAAGCCTGTAACCGAACCCTGGATAAGCACCTCTGCCGCCGCGCTAGTGCAGCAATTCTACCCCAGCGAGCAGGGTGGCAACGCCCTCGCGGACGTGCTCTTCGGAATCTACAACCCATCCGGCAAGCTCTCAGTCTCCTTCCCGCGGGACGTGGGCACCTCGCCCTCATACTACGACAACCTCAAGGGCGGCAGGTTTAATTCTCCGGGGCAAGTGTACGAGAATGGAACGATGGTGTTCGGGCACCACTACGTGCTCTCGTCACCACTACCATTGTACCCCTTCGGCTACGGCAAGAGTTTCAGTACTTTCCAGTTCTCGAATGTCACCCTTGATAAGGCCAACGTTACCGCTTCAGACACTGTGACCGCAGAGCTGAAGATTAGGAACAACTCTACCCGTGATGGGGCGGAGGTCGTGCAGTTGTACGTCACCGATAAAATCGCTTCAGTCGTCACGCCGAACAAGGAGCTCAAGGGCTTCCGCAAGGTCTTCCTACGCGCCGGCGAGGAGAAGAGAGTGCGTATTCCCATCGACGTCTCCGGATTGGGTGTCTGGAATACGAGGAACAGGTACGTTGTCGAGAAGGGCGAGTTTGTCGTCGCAGTCGGGGACTCAGCGGAGGGAATTAAATCCCGGTCTTCGTTTTGGGTACTTTGATTAGTAGTAGAGAAGGAGGTGGTAAGTGTGATATGACGTTATTGTACAGTAGTTCATAGAGGGGGGTCACAATTTTGGAGAAACCGGGATGTATCGAGTGAGACTTTGTGGACGCATTAACACACCTCCCTCAAAAGAACGAATGAAAATAAAGCCCAAGACAATTCCAACCGTTCACTCTCATGCTTCTTCACTCCCCCGAGACCCGTATAGACTACCCCCCGGTCGATACCCGAGTACAATGGGCGGCACAGCAAGCACTACTAGTACCTTCGGACTAAGCTGTAGATCCGTAGTACAGTACAGCACCCCCCCACCCATCCGCCCACCTACCTACCTACCTACTATAGAACAGCACAAGACCCAGACAAGCCTATTCTATAGATAGTCATCGTAGCGAGCATGAGTGCCCCACCATGAGTCTATCTCGTTCGCGCCCCGCAGCGACGTATATAACAACATGCCGAACAAACCGTACGATGACCTATAATGGTAGCGTAGCATAACTCGAGAACAGTGCCACAAGATCATTACCATCACCCTGCGGTGCTGTATAATGGAGGGAAGCAAGAAAAATACAAGAACTGACCCAATGCCGAGTTCTATGAAAAAGGATACCTGAAACACCCCAAATCTGAAATCCCTTTCCCAATGAAAAACACAAAAGAAACAAAACACTCCAGACCGATGATGTTAGTAAAATGAAAACCATAATTCAGACTGCCCTACTAAAACGATTGAATTTTGGACAGGGAATCCAAAGAGACACCAATAGGAATAGAGCGAAGTATAAGTCTGACTATAGAACATGAGATAGCTGGAAAAAGAAAAGAAAAGCGAGCCCAGCCTCCCCTAGCTTCACTCCGCAGTATATCCCCTAATCACGCAAATTAGCGTGGTATCATATTCCATAAATCTCCCACACACCAAAATTGAAAAAGTCAGGGTAAAGGGGGAAAGGAACTAAGCAACCCTTCTGAAAAAAGCTTCATATTCCTCCTTGGTGTGGAATGGTATCTTCCTTCTCCGCGAGTTTCCAAGACTATCCGAACCTGTACTAGAGCTCGCCGAGAGCGCTGACCCCGGGCGTGACGTCTGAAAAGTGCCCTCCTCTGGAACCAAAAACGGTGTTCTAAACCCCTCGATGTTGTGTGGAGGTTCTGGGCACAGAAATCGCCAGTTTTCAGGTAAGACCTTCAAGGGCGGATTCTCCACATCCAGAACACGCATTTCCCCCCCAAACGGATTCCGTAAAAGGTTAATGATGAACCGGGTCACCGGATCGGTATCTGTGAAGTGTGGATACTGGAACCGCCTGAACTCGTGATCAGGAGAGGTTCGTAAACGCTTTGAGGGAGGCCTCTCTCTGGAAGATGTGGACGACGAAGATGAGGGGGGACTAGCGGACTCAATAGAGCGGAGGATGGAATTCAGAATGTCCAGGTATCGCTGAGCCACATTATCGTATAGGGCACAGAATTTGAGAGCCTGGAGGCAATTGGAGAGTAACTCGTTATCCTGACCGCTAAGAGCAAAATTGGTGGTCTCCCGACATCGTCGAGTAGACAAGCAAAGAGAAACAATCAAACCGGCGGTGTAAGAAGATTGACTATCCAGGAAAAATTCAGAATGTTTAGTCAGCAATGAGCAAAACCCGGCGGAACAGCGGTTTTTTTTTCCCAGCACCTACATAGCAAGCCAGCATCGCCGCACCAATCGCCCCTCTGAATATATTAGTCCTATCACCTTGGGAGCAAGTCAGCACACCATATGTGCTAGTGAAATCAATCGCATGGGTTGGGGATCAAAACCGTTGCAAGCTGCCTGCCGGCAGAAACGCACATTTGGGCGTATTCACCTGCTAATCCCTTTCTCGCATCGTCCACAGGAGGAGCATCATGCGGTGCACACATCTCAACCAAAACCTTTCGGCTCATCAAAACGATGCAGTTCAGATAGGAGCAATGCGTCAATAACACTGCAGACCGCTGCTTGGAATCGTTTCCACTAACGCTCCGAGTGAGTCTGAAGGATTCAGGGAGGGAGGACCGCCAAGCCCTAAGCTTCTTTGAGTGCTCGGCAATGGATGCAAAGTCTGTAGCCGCAGTTGCATAGATATTCTTTGTGATCATGCCCATTAAGATGCCGAGCTTGATCAACTCCGAGTGAAGATATGCGTCGAAATCATTGGTGCAGGTTCGATAACCCTGCAGCTCACACATTTACACTGCATCAGACAAAAAAGTGGAAAAAAAAATTTGTAAGAGAGCGCCTTCCGCGGAGGGGCCCGGAGGGGCCCAGAGAGCCCCTTGTGACAGAAATGAATACAGTAACAATGAGGATTTCTTACCTCAGCATGTATAGGATCCTCTTCAGGAGAAATCTTAGGCATTATCCCTATACTGGATGCCATCCAACTGTTTGCCGAGGCCGGTAGTGCCTCTGTTAGCCCTCAGAAACACCCCAACTGCCCCTCTCTACTTGCTTTTGCTTCTGGCCCCGCATAGAGACAAGGACGGGAGAAAAAAGATAAAAATCAAAGTATTGTGAAATGTAAAATAAGAAAGGCCCACACACCCATCTAGATATATCAGAGACCTCCATACCCTCCTCCAAGAAGCCCATTCCCGGTCGCTGTAGGGTTTGCACCTCGTCGTTCTATTAATCCCAGTGGATTTTGCCAGTCGAATCGCTTGATCTGCGGGTGATTAAGAAAGGGAATTAGAAACTGAGCCCAACCAAGGAATACAGTAGTAACCGGGGAGGAGTGGGTAGTCATCTCATACCCAAATAATCAACGGCAAAGAAGGATTTCTCAAAGATCAGGAATAATCCAACAAGCATTGATACTCTCATTTTTTTCAGCACATGCACATCCTTGCCATACTCGATGTCCAGGTACCACTTCGCACTCCTGAACAGAGCCATAGTGGTATCGCTCCCAACATCTTCATACTGGGCACCCACGGCAACAATGGCTAGCAATTCACAAAGCTTAGCAGTGGTGGGCTCTGAATCGGGGGTGTAGATGTCACTAATGAGCTCCATAGCTTCGTACTCCGCGAGAACATAGATCATGGAACCCGTCCCACGGACGAAAGCGGAGACAAGGCGTGAAGTGACCTCGAGTGGTGGGAGCTCACGGAGAGAATAAAAGGTGTATCTAGAATCGGTAAGAGACGGTGGTGACGGGGAGGCAAGCTTCAGCTTTTCTCTCACCGAAGCTGCCATGATTGAGTCAGTGAAAGAATTCCTGTTGCTGTTGGCATGGTTTTTATTCTGGTTGCGAGTGCAAGGGCAGTTTGATGATGGTGACGCAGCTCCCAGGCCGACTTGGGAGGGAGCTGGAGAACTGGTCACAGAGCTGGATACCGACATGGCGGGCTGTCGAGTGCGCGTGAAAAGCGTATTTTTCGAGGGCTGTTACTTTTTTTTTTAAAAAAAAAAAGACAAAACAATTCTTGTCCCAGCCTTTCTGCCTCGCTCCCTCCCTCTCCCTCTATATTTTTTTCTCCTACAAAAAAAAGGAAGGAGTATAAGGAAGCCGTAGATTCGGCGGATTCAGGATGGGACACGCTGGATTCAGATTTGTTGGCAGGTTATCGTGGTCGCGTGATTGTTCGAGTTTCCTGAAGAGTGGGGGGCTTTTGTTCGCTTCGAAAAGAGCAAGAACGAGATATCACTATCCTCTTTTCTCTCTTCCCTCTTCCACCTTTTTCTCTTTATCCCATCTCCCCTATATCTGAGGGGGGAGCTCGAGTACATATATATACACATTACCGGTCTTCGCCATCGAGTGTGGGGCCCAGAGGGGTAAATGGGAAGGGGTGCTAAAAGAACTGGGAGCAGATTGTTAGGAGAGTCTTGGGGCGATCCGAACGGAAATCTGATGTGAAAAAAATAAGGAAAACGCACGATAGTTTGATATGGGTTAAACGGCATTCGCTGGATACTTTGTTTTTTTTCCCTCCTACTTCTCACCTCGCACTCCTTCCAAGTCTCCGACTCGTCTTTTCTTTTTCCACCCTTTCTCCCGCCCTATGTACCAGTACCAGTAATCCTCTGACCGCATGCCCATAGCCAAGGACACCTTAAACACCCATCCACCTGGGACAGTTGCTGAACCGGGATGCATGTCCAACGTCTCATGTGTACTGCAGGGATGTTGTTCGCTTGCTTCCGATACCCGATTCAGATCTCCGAACTTGCCAAAATGCAGTCTCTCTTCCCATACGGCTGGCTACTCGAGTCCAGTATGGTGCTACCGGCGCTTGTCGTCCATGGTGGTTGCTCGGCCGCCGGTTGGGAAGGCTTTCTAGGGAATACCGGTGGTTTCTCCCTTTCTTTTTTTCCCTCCCTTTTTTTCCTTTTTATTATTTACCCTCCGGAATCTTGTTGCGCTACCACCGGTCAGCATGGTTTCTGGGTCAAATTTGTGGTTGATGTGGAATTGGGATTGGTTGATGCGCTGGCTGGAGTCGCCGAAAGACTGAGGGCCATGGGGAAGGGTAGACTAGTGTCTTAACTCACCAACCCTCCCCCCTCCTACCGGTAGCACCATACGACACTAGTATGCCTTCCCTCTCCGGAATTTGTCCATTACCCGGCGAATAAATATTTATCTAGCGCAGCTTAGTCCCGGAGCAATTATAGACATCAAATACGTTATGGTACTGTGCAAAGACCTATCCGCATAAGGTGACTAATATTCCGGTGTTTCGGTAGACACATCCAGCCAATTGACAAAACGGCAAGATAGTGGGCTCATATATCAGCCCACTGGCTCAGAATCTCACGAGACCCATCTTCCCATAAACGCACTCCGGAGCTCCCCCTTCAAATCCACCTCACTACATCGATACCCTCACCGCTTTTGCAATGGCCCTGCCACAACTTCTGATTGGCCGTCCCGCAGAAAGCACGGTAACCCCTCCCCGGGCTGGTCTGGGACTACCACAGCCTTCGAGTCGACACTTTTTGCAATGACTTGCGCACTATACAGTACCCCATGCACAATCTCAGGCAAGCCCAATAAAGCACAATGTGCGGGGCTATACACTACACACAGCGCTGTACCCGCGAACAGAAGAGGAGAGCATAGAAGATCCCCCTTTCTCTTCAACAGCGTCTCCCGGCGTTTGCGCATAGCATAGCAAAGCAAAGTACGGCGAAAGAATAGAACATCTCATCCATAATTCAGGCCTATACTACTTGTTGATATGTGCACGTCTGGCGCGTAACCCGGGCGCTATCTCACCACATGAACTTGCTCGGAGGGCGGGGGCTGTGATAGGTCAAATTAATTAGAATGGGGAGCAGGTCTATAAGTCGGCTGACGGTCGCCTGCCCCGACTAGGAGAAGGACAACGAGAGCCACACAACCATCCTTACTTCATTCATCCTTTCATTCATCCTACACACACTCACACACACTTACACACAGACACGCACTACCACTACAGAGGAACAACGGCAGCAACAACCCCAAGAAACAGACTCAACCATAATTGGCGAGTCCTGCCGCGACCAAGTGTACCGTAAGTGAAAGCCCTTGTTCGCTCGCGGTTCCTTCGCGACGGATGATGGAGCAATTACGAATCTGCAAATCGCCGTCCAAATAACCGGGTCAAAGGAACCTGGCCACTTGACCGTGCCATCAAGATAAACCCCTTCTCAAGTACCCACACCGTTACGGTTCTATGCCATTACCGTACCCGTGCCCTTGTGGCATCGACAAGCAGTACTCGAGCATAGTACGAGTATAACCATAGGGTAAAAAGTGAAAGAAAAAAAAAATGAAAACGAAAATAACCCCACTCCCGTCCTGTCCACACCCAACAAAACACAAAATACGATACATACTAGTACGGTATGAGCACAGTACACCACCATAGTAGGCCCCTACCTAATCTCCAAAATAAGAATAAACCACTTTTCTTGCCAGCCCTACCGTACTCGAGTCTCACACACGTGGTTAACATTCCCCCTACAATCCCCAACGGGGACACACGACGCGGACGACACAGGGATCAGCGACAGGTCTTATCCTTTTTCTCGTTACCCTACCTTGACGAATCCACACAGATTTTCTCTAGCCCGCCCTTGACCACATCACATAATACCCCTGTCCGTCACACGCCGGTTTTCCTCGCGTCCCCCGATGAAGACTACCGTATCGTGATCGTCTGGGAACGCCCGACCTTCGAACCGACAGGTTCGACGTGCCCAATCCTGCAAACGACTACGACTCCGCCGGGCCCAGGCCGGGGTAATATGGATGGCCCGTGGCCCACCTCACACGCACGAGTATAATGGGGGTGATCCCCCACAACCCACAAATCGGAGTTTTCCAGTGATGATTCGTGGGAACGCCTCTCTTCTTCACCTCGTACGATACATACTGTACTAGTACTTACTTCTTGAGTACTAGAGTGTAGGGTAAATGGGCTCAAAATAATCCGCTCAATTGTCACCGACTAACCGACGGGTTTTTATTGATGCTCGCTCGCTGCTCGCTCCTTTCCGCCGATATCTCGACAAAAACTTCTGGGTTTTCGAACGCTTAGTCTACCGCACCTGCCTCCCAATCTCTCCGGCCCATGCCACGTGATGTGAAAAACGCTGATTAAAGACACTGTTGGAACTCGCCATGACGCCCAGCCACACACCAAAGGAGGAAGAGAGGGAAATGCGGTGGTCTAGTAGGGCCTCCAGTATTCTGCCATCATCGCCAGTTCCCCAAACCCCGTTTCGCGGCGCAACGGTTCATTGACCCGCCTACCCGCTTCAAGCGCAAGGAATGCAAAAGTACCATACATAGCACTTGTTGAATTGCAAATACATTGTTGGGGGAGGACTACCGTACGGCACGTTTATCGCTCCATGTGACAACAATGTGCTGTGCCGGCCCAATGGGACCCAGGGAGACATCCGCACGGAACACGTATGGAAATCGCTTATTCTAGGCCCTTATTAAACTACCGGTACTGTAACCTCCGAAGACGGGTAAGTTGACCAATGGCAGCCCGATCTTTATTACTCCCCCGCTTGAGCCACCCTCCTCCGTTTGCTCGCAGTGGGGCAACGCTTGTGAGCGCGACCGCCAAATCCCGGTTTCTCCTCTTACTTGTACATCTAAATGTTGCGTGATGGTAGTCGTGTTCGTAAACGTAACCCCGTTGCGGGTAATCTCCTGTGCACATTGGGGCTTTTCTTCTTCGCCGCCGCTTGAAGACGACCGGTGAGTTGCGATGGCAATTGAGTTGAATGGTAGGATCGGCCGGGCGCCCGCGAACGCACGGCAAAACCAGGCAACCAGAAAAATAAGTACGAGTACCGGTAATGTAAACAGAGTACACAGTACCGTAGCACAGCACTTGGGCATGAACCATTCCACTTCATAGACTGAACAGAAGGTCTAATACTGGATCCATCGTGTGACCCCATCTCCTCGCCTCTCGCATACTCGACTGCTCGTACCATACCTGTCCCACATGCCATATGCCGATATGCTCCACCTTTGTGACTCGCTCGAGCTATTCTGAGAAGTGGGCAAGGGTGTTAATGGAACAGAAGGGTCTGGACTGGTCCTTTTGCCTTCCCCCCAACATGGCGCTCTTCCCTGGTGCGGGTGTTTCCCCGCAACCAATTGATAGTGCAGGCAAGGTCGGGGAAACGGAACATCATGGGGTGGGCAGGGTGAGGAGGACGGTAAGGGAGGCATCATTCCATAAGTTCTAGTATGAGGGATGGTCTGCGGCGCCGTGCCCTCAATTGTCCAATGCGAACAATATGGGTATCGGACAGATGCTTGGCAAAGTTTGCCCTTCGGTGTTCCAGTGCGGCACGAGCCGCAGGATGGAACTTGCGTCGAGCCTCATGTGACGTGTCTGCTAAAGTACGGGTACAAATCTTTTCGTCCGGCATGGCAATAGCAACCCCACCACCACAACAAATTTACTACCTATGCAACCACAACTGCTTAGAATAAACTGAAAATTTGGGTATATATCCAGTACATGTAATAAAGCCTTCATATAAAATTATAGAGAAAAAAAACCAATACTTTGTATACCACCCCTTTGCATCTAAAACAGTAGCCACCCTCCTAGGCATAGACTCCTACAAGCATTCCAAAGATTCACCTTCAATATCCTGAGTCCAAACCTGATTTAGAGCTTCTGCTAGACATTTTCTAACAGTATCAGGACTCTCCTTAGTCTTGCGAATGTTAGGAAAGTATTGATACATCTTTCTCTTTACCCATTTCCAACAGTGCTTAATAGGATTGAGATCTAGAAAATTGGGAGACCATTCCATAACCTGTATATTGTTTTCTGCAAACCAAGCCATGGTATCACTTGCAGTATATATCTTTGCACCATCCGGCTGAAAGATAGGATCCCTAACTGTATCCTCTACCTTCCACCAGACATCAACTAAGTCATCCTTCAAAACTCTAATATATACAAATCTATTCATAGTCTTGTCAAAAAGAAAAATCAGGGGACCCTTATTTTTACCCTAGATGAAAGCCCAAACTATCAACTTCACTCCTGGCCCCTTTGTGACTCATTGGATACAATTCTTATGTCACTTTTCCTCAAGTATTTCAAATACCAAAATACCCTTAGGCTTAGGATCTTTGGGCTTTTCAACCATGCATTCGTTACTCAAAATGACATCGTCAAACTCCTCCTTGTCTAATCCTTATACTCCTTCACTCAGGTTAATCTCTTAATAGCATGTTCATTTTTTAATAATGCTATTTTTCTAGCCCTCTACTTCTTTATATTGACAGAGGCTAAAGCTCCCTTGTGTTACAAACAGTGACTAAGCAAGGCAGATTTTACTTAGCTCAGGATTCTGAGCTATGTTGAGATTTCACATGATATACACTAGTGTGCTATAGGTTATTATGTTTACCTGTTTGTGATTCACAGTTGTAAGTTACACGATGTTATGATTTTCACACATGACTCAAGTTGTAACGTGTTCACACCGGGGTGCTAATCACGCTTCCGGGTACAATAGGAGTAGCACACAAGTTGATCTACAACCTATGGGCGTACTGCGCTAAGGGAGGCTCCGAGAGAAAGATATAAAGAATAGGGACTTGAAGAGGTAACTGTTCAACCAAGTATATTAGAAATACTCTGTCCGTCGAAGTCTGCTGTTGTAACGACCCTACGATATAGAGCTATAGTAACCTACGTCTACGCCCATACATAAGCCCAAGAGGTCAGATGGTAGACGAGGTGGATATGCAGGCGGATATCCGAGAGATATCTGATGGTGCGGAAATCTCTAAGAACAGAAGGTACTTAAGGAATAGGTGTACCTAAGTAGTGGTAATAACGTGACAATGTCCGCTCTGGCCTATGGATAGGTCAAAAGGCCGGGTGAGTTTACCCTACCCAAGGAAGTCACGTTACCCTACCATGGAGACTGGTTTCGTGTCACCATGGACATACTTACCCTACCTTTGGGACACTATTACCCTACCTTCCGTCGGAAATGTTCTCGGAGGAATTTCGGGAAATGTTAGGATTGTTTGTTACGCAATGACGATCGACGGGCACTTGATTGCACTTTGATCGGAAGACTACGGGAGGAGCTATAGTGCTCCGAACAAGCTGTAACTTGGTAGAATTATTCCTAACAGGTACCTGCGGCCCCAGGGTTCGCCCCGGGCGTCAGGGGCCAAAATGGGTGGAGTTGCC